GTCACCCAGGCTGGAGTGCAGTGGCATGATCTCAGCTCACTGCAACCTCTGCCTGCCAGGTTCAAGCAATTCTTCTGCCTCAGCCTCCTGAGTAGCTGGGACTACAGGCGTGCGCCACCACACCCAGCTAATTTGGCCAATTCCTTAAGAGGCAAATAAGTGACAGACCTAGGATTCAGTTTGTCAGTCTGACTCAAAGCTCATGTTCTAATTCATAAGAACAACGGGGGAAGGGTAAATATAGAAGACAAAGAATGATGAAGACAGGAAAAATAAGTTAGAGAACACCACAATGTAGTGGTGTAGTGGCTCATGCCTGTAATCTCAGCATTTTAGGAGGCACTCAGGAATTCAAGCCTGAGCAACATAGTGAGACCTGGTCTCTACTAAAAATAGAGTGGCGCATGCCTGTGGTCCCAGCTACTCAGGAAGCTGAGGTGAGAGGATCATCTGAGCCCAGGGTGTCGAGGCCGCAGTGAGCCATGATCACATCACTGCACTCCAGCCTGGGGGACAAAGAGAGACCTCATCGAGAGAGAGAGAGAGAGAGAGAGAGAGAGAGAGAGAATATCACAAGAATGATTCGGGAAGGAGACAAAGACTTTATCTCTGGGTCTGACCTCTTCTCCTGAGCTCTAACCACAAACTGAATACCAGACATCTCCACATACCTGATGCCCTACAGGAACTTCCAACCTCTTGTGCCCTACACAGACCTTGTCTCCCATAAATCTGTCCCTCCTTCCTCATCTCAGTTGAGTGCACCACCATCCACTCTTTCCCTAACTGGAAACCTGGGCTTCACCTGTCATCTCTCCTCTTCCTTACCCCACATGTCCCCTCCTTGCTCATTCCTTGTCAGTCTCCTTAGATTCCTTTTCTTATGTCTAAAATTGCTTGCTGTTAGTTCCCATTCCCCAAGGTTTTGTTTTGGTTTATTTTCTTTTCATGTCACACACTCTCCCTGGGTGATTTCATCTACTCTACTCCCATGGCTTCAGCTATCAGTTCTTTTTTTTTGAGACCGAGTCTTGCTCTGTCACCCAGGCTGGAGTGCAGTGGTGCAAACTCTGCTCACTGCAACCTCCACCTCCAGGGTTCAAGTGATCCTCCTGCCTTAGCCACCCGAGTAGCTGGTGTTACAGGCGTGTGCCACCACACCCAGCTAATTTTTGTATTTTTGGTAGAGATGGGGTTTCGCCACGTTGCCCAGGCTGGTTTCGAACTCCTGGGCTCATCCGCCCACCTCAGCCTCCCAAAGTGCTGGGACTACAGGCATGAGCCACCATGCCCAGCCTTCAGTTATCACTTCTGTGCCTGCCACTTCCAAATTTGTACCTCAAGCACAAGCTTCTTTCCTAAGCTCCAGCCCTGTAGATCAAGGCCTCCTGCACACCACCATGCATTCAACTTGTCCCAGATGGAATTTATACTCTCCCCACCTCCCAGCCTGCCAATCTTGCTCTTCCTCTACTAATTTCTATCTTGAATAGCACACCAGAAATCTTATTGCTCAAGCAACAAATCTGTTTTTTTCCTTAATTTCTCTTTGACCTCATATATCTAGGCAGACACATGTTTTATAGTTTTTAATCACCTTATTGTCTGTCGTCTTCATCTCTACTGCTATTTATTGCCTTAGTTTAGGACCTCTTCTGTTTTACCAGAATTATTTCAATGGCCTTTCTGCCTCCATGTTTACCCTCTTCAGGTCAACCTTCCTAATGTAGCCCAAATAATCTTCCTGAAATGCTAATTTAATCATGCTGTTCTTTTGCTTTCAGCTCTTAAATTACCATTACGTATCAAACTCCTCAGGGAATAATCCATTACTTGGCCCTTGTCCATCTGCATGTATAGCCTTCTCTCTTGTATCCATCCCTCTCTGAATTATATTCTGGACATGGTGAATTGTTTATCATTCTTTCATATAACAAATACATTTACTGAGTTCCTGTAGGCCCTCAGGATATAAAAGTGAATAAGAGAGATAAGGTACTTATATTCTGAAACTAATATTTTACTTGTGAGAGACAAGTAAAGATAGGACTAGATAGTGATGGTGTTATGAAGGAAATAAAACAGGTTGATGTGATGGCGGTCAGTGGGACAGATTATTTCTAACAGGGTAGTTGGGGAAGGTTCCTCTGAAGAGGTGACATTTGAGTTAAGATCAAAATAAGGAGATGTTTCTGGAATAAGATATACTCTTTCATAATTCACAATCTTTTTTTTTTTTTTTTTGACAGGGTCTCACTGCAACCTCTACTTCCTGGGCTCAGTTGATCCTCCCATCTCAGGGGTTATAGGTGCACACCACCATGCTCAACTAATTCTTGCATATATATGTATTTTAAGACAGGCTCTCAGTCTGTTACCCAGGCTGCAGTATAGTAGCACAATCTTGGCTCACTGCAGCCTTGACATACTAGACTCGGTGGATCCTCCCACCTCAGCCTTCCAAGTAGCTGGGACTACTGACGTATGCCACCACTCCTGGCTAATTTTTATAGTTTTTGTAGAGATGTGGTTTCGTCATGTTGCTCAGGCTGGTCTCAAACTCTTGGGCTGAAGTAATCTGCCCACCTTGACCTTCCAAAGTGCCGGGACTATAGGTATGAGTCACCGTGGCTGGCCACTTCACTTTTTATGTATCTAGAATACCCTTGGCCAGGTGCAGTGGCTCATGCCTGTAATCCCAGCACTTTGGGAGGCTTCAGGCCAGGAGTTCAAGACTAGCCTGGGCAACAGAGTGAGATCCCTATCTCTATAAAAATTTTTTTAAAAATTAGCTGGGCCTGGTGGTGTGCACCTGTAGTCCTAGCTACTCGGGAAGCTGAGGCAGGAGGATTGCTGGAGCTCAGGAGTTTGAGGTTGTAGTGAGCTGTGATCATGCCACTGTACTTCAGCCTGGGCAAGAGAGGGAAACCTTGTCTTGAAAAAAAAAACAAAAAACAAAACAAAAAAACACCCCCTCCAAAACCACTCCTTTCTCCAGCTCAGGTGGCTCTACTCATTGTCTAAGATTCAGCTCAAAGGTCATTTCCTTAAGCCTTTCCTGACCCTTTCCTCCCTTCTGACCTTACAGATCTTTACCACAGCACCTATCACTTCTTACTGCACATAGTATAAATTCCTTGAGGGAAGAGATTAAGCCTTATGTCGTTTTGTTTCTTTCATTGCCTAGCACAATCTTAATCATAGAGTGGGTCTGTTAGTATCTGATAAATCAGTGAAATGCTTGAGATGGGTCTCTATTAGTGGTGTGCTGAAGCTGGCTTGTTTCAGCTTGGGAGAGGCAATTATTAGCATCTCTTCTCAACTCAGCGTTCAGTGATATCATTGGCTATAGTGGAATAATTTACACCACAGAAATTAGCAAATGTTTCGAATTACGTCACTTATTTTTTCCTTTGGAGAGCTGGTTGTCAACAATTTATCAGCACACCACTGGTAGCAGCGTACCACAAAACTCTGGATATTTTTGGCCAATTGATGTTAGCAGTTTAAGGCAAATACTTCCGAAGGTTTTGTTATGAAAAATAGCAGTCACCTGCAACTCCTATTCATTTCTCTCTTCCCAGAGGCAACTCTTCTAATTCTTTCTGTTGAGTATTTTGGTATTACTTCCATGCCTCTAGGTATTAACATAATTGTATTACTAGTTCTTTATTTTTTCAGCTTTAGGCATTATCAATTGACTTTCTACAATGAAAAATGAGAATTTAGCTCTCTTTTCTCCCTTACTCCCATTTCCCTTTCCATCTTTCATCCTTTCAACAGAGTTATAGCATAACTTTGGCCAGTAGTCAGGTTTACTTTATTATGACTATGTAAATTCTATTCTGTAGCTGATCCACAGCAAACTATGGTCTTTTCATTTCTTATACAGGTTATGTATCCCTTATCTGAAATACTTGGGACCAGAAGTGTTTTATTTATTTATTTATTTATTTATTTATTTATTTATTTATTTATTTATCTGAGACAGAGTCTTGTTCTGTCACCCAGGCTGGAGTGCAGTGGTGCAATCTTGGCTCATTGCAACTTCTGCCTCCTGGGTTCAAGCCATTCTCCTGCCTCAGCCTCCCGAGTAGCTGGAACTACAGGTGCACACCACCACACCTGGCTACTTTTTTTTTTGTATTATTTTTAGTAGAGATGGGGTTACACCATGTTGGCCAGGCTAATCTTGAACTCCCAACCTCAGGTGATCCACCTGCCTCAGCCTCCCAAAGTGCTGGGATTACAAGCGTGAGCCACTGCGCCAGGCCAGAAGTGTTTTAGATTTTGGATTTTCCTTTTTTTGGATTTTGGAATATTTGCATTATACTTACCATTTGAACATCCCTAATTCAAAAATTGGAACTTTCAAATGTTCCAATGAGAATTTCCTTTGAGTGTCAAGTTGGTGCTCAAAAAGTTTCGGATTTTGGAGCATTTGATTTTGGGTTTTTGGATTAGGGACATTCAATTTGTACAACTTCTTCATTTTCCCAGAGTTAATAACTGTCTTGTTTTTGTTAGTGTTGTTTTTTCTATGTTATCCCCAATTCAACTTCAAACTTTTAGCCAGTTGTCTAAATTGCCTTTCAAATGTTTGTATGGATCTAGTATTTTATCAGTTGCATCTTGCTGAATAGATCTTTTCTGGATTCTTGGGTTTTGTTCCACTTTGGATTAACTAATCCCTTTATGCCCCATTTAAAGCTGACATTCTTATCTCTGTTCACTGTTATCCCATGGATTCTTTTTGCCTTTTTTCTGAGTTGAATCTCTTGTTTCTGATCTTTCTCTTTTTGGTTTATTTTCCATTTTGGAGGAATAAATTTCCTAGTAAAGTTGAGACTTTTCATATCTGAAAATGTTTTTATTCTATTGCCCTCCTGATTAGCACTTTGCCTGGGTATACACTTTTCGGTTAAAATGAACTTTCCTTCAGAATTTTGAAGGCATTTTTCCATTATCTTTGCCTCAAGTGGGTACATGGGGAAACATACCCTTCCTCCACAGTGACTGAGTTCATGAGAAGGCAATTGGTAATAGTCACTCTATCTTTTATGAGACAGGATGAACCAATGACTGAGCGCTTAATGGATGACTTCTCTCCAATCTGTGTCTCTGGCCCGATGAGGCTGTCAACTCCAACCTGTAAAAGGCAAAATATAAAACTCTGTCCATCCATCTCAACCAACTGCAAACCACCCTCCAGATCTTTCAAGCTGCGATCTAATGGGATCTTTCCATAGAGACACTTCAGTAAGAGGGGCCATCATCAGTATTTCTCAGGGCCACAAGGTCATACAACACCTCTGAGACGAACTCAAAACTAACTGAAGAATGGGCCCTCCTCCCTTGCCAAGAAAACAAAACAAAACAAAACAAAACAACAGACACACATACACACTCATGCATTTGTTTGTATAGATGTGCTCTCTTAAAGAGAGTGCTCAAATCAGAATTAGAAGGGGGACAGATTGAGAGCTCCTGTGTCTGAGTCCCAGCACCATAATGGACCCTTCCTTACAACGTCATTACTTGCCCAGGCAGTCTTGTTGAGTGAGATTTTATTCTTAGAACCCAGCTGTGATTTCCCTGGGGCTAACGAGGTTCAGGACTTGAAGGCCTCAATCCGGCTTCTCAAGGACAAGTCTCAGTGCTCCCAAAGAACATCCCACCCCTGCTCTGGCCACACTAGCACTTACCAGGTGTTTGCTGACAATCTGGGCTGATGAATGGACCAGTGGTTCTTCTGGACAGAGAGCAGACAGCAATTTGGGCACCTTAAGGACAGAGATTTGGTCACTAAAGATCAGAAAACACCTTAGGTAGAACCCAGGGCTCAATCAGAGATATGGGGAGTTCTCAGCCATAGCTTCCTGTCTGAGTGAGGGAGAGCAGGAGGCTGCTGCATTCCCCCTAGGATGAAGATAATTCATGCTGCAGCTTCTAGATGGCCTTATTGTCAGTCTCTTAGCTGTGAATGCTCCTCCTTGAAAGTAATGCCATGTCCCTTGGCTGGGAGGCACTGAGACCAAGTCTTTGAGTTACCCACGTAGCACCTCTTGGAAAAGGAGTCCTGATCAGGTTAAGGAACACCCTGAATCCTGATCACAGGTATCCTGGGTTCTGGGTCACCTCCTGGACCACTGTGACCATGCATGAGGTAAGGATGAGATCCATTTTAGACAAATTCCAAAATAAGGAAAGACCCTGAGAAGGCATCCATCCACCAGCCAAAAGAAAACATGAAGGGGAAGTTCACACTATTCCCTCTCCAGTGTGAGAAACCTGGAAAGGTTAGAGGTATGGGGGGCTTTGGCTACTAGTCCATTAGGAAGGCACAGGTAGTATGCCTGTCTGTGATTCTCCAGCACAGACAGAATGCTTGTCAGAGCACTGTGCGTGGCAGCCACACTAGCTGACGGAGGCCTTGTCAGCATGGCTACACTGGAATGTGAAGGTTAATTCTGAGTCCCCAGCCCTAGGATCTCTTCTTCCACACTCCACCCAAGGCCCTTCAGGCCTGTCTGCTGCATAGCCCCTGTTGGCACTTCAGGGGATACTTTTCCCAGCATGCTCACTCGAGAGCAGGGCCCCTCTTTCATGATGTGGACACAGCAGTGATCTGGACAAGTCTTCCCACTCAGGTTATCCATGAACATCTTTCCAGACCAGCCTGAAAGACTCTAGTCATGGGTAAATGTGGGACTAGCTATGATTTCTCATAAGCTTTCTGGCTTGGGATTCCCTTGGATCTGTAACCAATCCAGGTTGAGGCTCACCTGAGCTTTTATCTGGTGTGGGTCCTACAGATTCCTGAGCCAGGTTTTCTTCAGGGACTCAATCCCAATTTTCTTTTTCTTTTTTTTGAGACAGAGTCTCACTCTGTTGTCCAGGCTGGAGTGCAGGGGCACAATCTCGGCTCACTGCAACCTCCACCTCCCAGGTTCAAGCGATTCTCCCTGCCTCAGCCTCCGGAGAAGCTGGGATTACAGGCGTGTGCCACCATGCTTGGCTAATTTTTGTATTTTTAGTAGAGACAGGGTTTCACCATGTTGGCCAGGCTAGTCTCGAACTCCTGACCTCAGGTGATTCACCTGCCTCGGCCTCCCCAAGTGCTGGGATTATAGGCGTGAGCCACTGTGCCTGGCCTCAATCCCAATTTTCAACAATTTCTTTTATATTATTCTGTGCCCCACTGCCACCCCGGTCTGCACCTGCAATTATACTTTCATAGGGTTCTACCAGGTGCAATGTAAATACCTAATCTTTTCATTATGTCACCTCTGTTATCCTTGAATGCCACCGCAATGTAGTTCCCTCAATTATTTATCTTTTCCTATCCTCTTTTTTTTTTTTTTTTTTTAAATACAGAGTCCCACTCTGTTGCTTAGGCTGGAGTGCTGTGGTGCGATCTCAGCTCACTGCAGCCTCCACATCCCAGGCTCAGGTGATCCTCCCACCTTAGCCTTCCAAGTAGCTGGGACGACAGCCACATGCCACCACTTGGCTAATTTTTGTAGTATTTTTGTAGAGACAGGATTTTCTCCATGTTGCCCAGGCTGGTCTCGAACTCCTGGGCTCAAGCGATCCACCCGCCTCGGCCTCCCAAATTGCGAGGATTACAGGCGTAAGTCACTGTGCCCGGATGCTTTTCTTATTCTCATCTAAACCATCTGCTGCTCTGCATTTCCTTTTCCTAGTCTCATTATCCCTCCCTCCAAAAACCTTCCTCCTGGGCCTACTATATAATACAGAGTTCCTCTACATCTTCAGCCTCTTTACTGTACCCCTCTCCACCCTCTGCCTTCATTAAGGCCTGGCTTATCTTTGAGGACACTGCTTCTCCTTCAGTGGAAGCTATTTGTTCCCTGTATCTCACAAACTTTAAGGTTAAAAGGAGGGGCTAGCAAGAGACTCCTCATTAATGCTGTTTGCAGATAATTCTCTCTCATAGTCATTCCTTTCCTGAGGCTTTGCCATCTGGCCACTCTACACTCTGCTCCTTCACCTTCTCAGGGAAGCCTCCTCCATATGCCTATGTTTACTTCATCAGAGTAATGATTACAGAGTATTTACCTGCTTATTATGAAGTAAGTACTGCAGATATCCCCATGTTGAACAGAATAGGAGGAACCTGCTGACCCAGAGGCCAGAAGTTAGCCTTCCTGAAGATCTCAGCCTTTTCCTGGAGCCACAGAGGCCCTGACTATGGACCAGGCACCCTGCTTCCTTTTTTGCTGCACCTGAGTACCCTAGTAGTCTCCCTTGACATGCCAGGTCTTGCTCAACCTTGGGAATGACAGGGATTCTTAACAAGTTACTATGTACCTAATGAAGAAACAGACAAATGGCTCAGTCGGTTTCTAGGACAAGAGCCCCACGATTTTCTTTCTAAACTTATGCTCTCACCTGTCTGTTTGCTTCCATGTAGAGTCCCAGTGTGCTCACTCGAGAGCAGAGCCCCTCTTTCATGATGTGGACATAGCAGCGCACCTGTGATCTGGACAAGTCTTCCCACCTGTCTCCTCGACAGGCATTCCAGCAGGCATCATAGGGAGCCAGGTTCAGTGTATTGGCTTCTTTTATAAAACTGTAAATATCTTCAGAACAAACACCCACACCAAGGAAATAAATGAGAGAGAGGTAACAGAACAGATATAGACTCAGTCAAGTTGTTTTTTGGTTTTTTAAGAGACAAGGTCTTGCTGTGTTGCCTAGGCTGGTCTCAAACTCTCAGACCCAAGCGATCCTCCCACCTCAGCCTCCTGAGCAGCTGGGACTACAGGTGTGCACCACTATGCTTGGCTCTGAGTTAAGTTTTAAAAGAGGTTACAGCTCACACTTCTCCCTTTGGAACTCACCCACAAAACATGAGCCCTGAGGAAATCCCACTAAAATCTGTAAGAGAAAGTCAAACTAAAAGAGGCAATGTACTTCCCTAAAATATCATATGATATAAAAATGCTTAATATGAGGTCCTAAAAGCATGTGACCAGTAATCAAGACCACTAGGGAAAATAAAACAGATGGCCCTTGTAAATCATGAAATAACACAAGCCAGCATCCAGGCTTTAGTGGCCAGCCAGATTGACTTTGTGCTGCTAGTCTCTATTGCCATATCTGGTAGCTGTGCTATGACAGAAAGCACAGAACTTGAAGCCCACTGTACCAGGGCTCTAGTTTTTCAGCTCTCACAACGACTCTTTGAGATCTTTTACTTTCTGATTAAAAAACTGGGGCTCAGAGAACTGAGTAACCTGCCTTAAGACATAATGCTAGTAAGAAGGCAGTCAGATTTCAAATCCAGAACTGTCTGATGCCCAGTTCTACAATCCTAATCATCATGCTGTACTGTCAGTTTATTAATTTGAGAAATACTTTTTCAGAACATCTACTATGAGCTTACGACTGGGCCAGGGATTAGGGATATGAGAGCATACGAGACAGCTCCGGTCTTCAGATCCTGGCATGGAGACACCTGGGCTGGCCTGCGGTTGGACTGCAGTTGTACATTCTTTCACCTTCCTTCCCTTGATAAAACAGGCTGAGTTTAATCAGGAACAGGGCTGCCTAGAGCCTAGAGAACAGGGGAACTAAGAAGTGGCAGGTGGAGTTTAAAGGCAAAATGGTCTAGTGAGGAACACAGCCAAACCAGAGCTATGAATCAGAGAATGGGGCTAGAGGCACGATTAGCCTGTTGCTGAGAGCATAGTGGCAGGATCTGCCTGAGCAAGCTTACCCAGAGCTCAGGGAGTGGGTTGGCAAGCCTGTCTTGCCTAGTAGGCTAGAAAATAGTCTGCTGCCTTGAGACAGGCATCTTGGGCTGGGCTAAGCTGCCAAACCACTCTTTCCAAAGGTGCTGCTACCCTTGCCCCTCTTACTGAACCAACCCAAGAACTGACCTAAGGACTTCAGCTCCTTTTTCTTTAGATCCTCTTCTTTTTCTTCTTGTCCCTGTTGTGAGGAAGCTGAGGAAAACTGTTTTCTCACTAGATACGGAATCAGTTCACTCCGGATAGAAGTGATTGACCTAGGAAGAAAGAATGGCCAAATATGAGAAACCTGACTGTCTGGAACATAGCGGGATCAAAAGCTCTGTGCATATAAGGAAAAACCAAGTCCTTTCCTGTCATGGCACCTTGGGACTGTCAGAGATCAAATGTGGCATCGACTTGGAAGTTCGGAGAAGGAGAGTGCTTCCTGGTGGGTACTGAGACAGGATGTTGGTTCTAAATGACCAGGAATCTGTACCAGGGGAAGAAGGGACCTGATCTTTAGTACAGTGTATGTTTTTTATTTATGTTTTTATTCATACTTAGCAATGGAAAGCAGAGAGGTGAGAGACTAGTACATGTTTTCCAGTGTTCTCTCACACTATGACCTTATTAGAATTTTATATTGCTAATTAATTTATGTAGCATTTACCAAGCATGTGCCAGTTACTGTGCTAGGCCTTGGAAATATATCAGTTTTGATCTCAAGGAATTCATAATCCAATGGACAGTAGCCTGCATGAGTTTAAGAGGAAAGGCAGAAGGAGATGAAGCTAATCAGGTGGGGCCAGATCATGAAAGCTTTCTGTGGTGAAACTACCTTTGCAAAAATAACAGTGACAAAATTATGACTGAAAGAGATCTGACCTAATCAACTCCATCTTGCTGTTAACCTCCAAACTGCTCTTGCTCATTCCTGGGCATCGGCTGAGCTAACTTTGGAAGAAAGCTTTTTTTTTTTTTTTTTTTTTTTTTCCCTGAGACAGAGTCTCACTCTGTCACCCAGGCTGGAGTACAGTGGTGCGATTTCAGCTTGCTGCAACCTTCGCCTCCCAGGTTCAAGCGATTCTCTCACCTGAGCCTCCTGAGTAGCTACGAAGCTGGGATTACAGTTGTGAGAGCCACTATACCCAACTAATATATATATATATTTTTTTGAGACAGTCTTGCTCTATCGCCCACGCTGGAGTGCAGTGGCATGATCTCAGCTCACCGCAACCTCTGCCTCCTGGGTTTAAGTGATTCTTGTGCTCCAGTCTCCAAGTAGCTGGGACTACAGACACATGCCACAATGCCTGGCTAATATTTTTGTATTTTTTGGTAGAGATGGGATTTTGCCATGTTGGCCAGGCTGGTCTTTAACTCCTGGCATCAAGTGATCTGCCTGCTTCAGCCTCTTGAAGTGCTTGGATTACAGGCATGAGCCACTGTGCCCCACGTTTTTTTTTTTGAGGTGCAGTCTCACTCCGTGGCCCAGGCTGGAGTGTAGTGGTGCGATCTTGGCTTACCGCAACCTCCACCTCCCAGTTCAAGTGACTCTCCTGCCTCAGCCACCCAAGTAGCTGGGATTACAGGTGCCGGCTACCATGCCTGACTAATTTTTGTATTTTTAGTAGAGATGGTGTCTCGTCATGTTGACCATGCTGGTCGTGAACTCCTGACCTCAGGTGATCCACCTGCTCTGGCCTCTCAAAGTGCTGGGATTACAGGTGTGAGCCACCATGCCTGGCGAGAAATTTATTACAGTTTATAGTTTAAATGATAGCCCTTCTCAAAATGAAACCACCTTTATAAAACTAATAAAAGGGCACAAGTTTAGGATTACAAGAGGGGCCTGAATTCTCATGATTACCAGTCATTGTTGCAAAGGTCACAAGATTTGCAACTTCCCCAGTTACTCCTGTAAATAACATCACTATTGTGGAACCTAAGATTGGCTTTTTAGGATGTCTTTTCTGACTTTTGCATTTCTGATGACTGCATGACTCCACTGGGACCACTGACCCCTCTGTGGCCCCCACCCAGAACTGGACTCAGCAGAGGACTGTCTTCCACACCCCTGTGATTGCATCTCCAACCAATCAGCAGCACCCATTCCCTACCCTGCCTACCAAACTATCCTTGAAAAGCCCTAGCCTCAGAATTTTGGGGGAGGCTGATTTGAGTAATAATAAAATTCTGGTTTCCCATTTAGCTGCCACTATGTGTATTAAACTCTTTATTGCAATTGTCCCATCTTGATAAATCGTCTCTATCTCGGCAGCAGGTAAGATGAACCCACTGGGGAGTTACAGTGGCAGTCTAGAAAGTCTGGACTGAAAAGCTAGTGGTAATTTTTTCTTTTTAGACAGGGTCTCGCTCTGCTGCCCAGGCTAGAGTGCAGTGGTGCAATCACAACTCACTGCAGTCTTGACCACCTGGGCTCAAGTGATCCTCCTGCCTTGGCCTCCCAAGTAGCTGGGACCACAGGCATGTGCCACCATGCCCAGCTAATTTTTTTATTATTTGTAGAGGCAAAGTCTCACTGTGTTGCCCAGGCTGGTCTCGAACTCCTGGACTCAATCCTCCCACCTTGCACTCCCAAAGTGCTGGGATTACAGGTGTGAGCCACAACACCCGGCTGCCAGTGGTAGTTTTTTTTTTATTTTTTATTTTTGAGATGGAGTCTCGCTCTGTCGCCCAGGCTGGAGTGTAGTGGCCGGATCTCAGCTCACTGCAAGCTCCACCTCCCGAGTTCACGCCATTCTCCTGCCTCAGCCTCCCGAGTAGCTGGGACTACAGGCGCCCGCCACCTCGCCCGGCTAGTTTTTTGTATTTTTGGTAGAGATGGGGTTTCACCATGTTTCCCAGGCTGGTCTCAAACTCCTGGGCTCAAGTGATCCATCTGCCTTGGCCTCCCAAAGTGCTGGGATTAAAGGCGTGAGACCATGCCCAGCAATTTCTTGTGTTTAGATGTGTATTTCTTTTATTTGGTTGGAATTTCTTAGACTTCCTGAAGTTAAGATTTCATGTTGAAACATCAATTCTGGAAAATTCACATATATTATCTCTTCAATATTATGTCTTTCCTGCCGTCCT